AGGGGTTAATTGGTAGAAACTAACCTTACTTTCTTAATTGAAAAAGATAAGTTAATAAATTTCTAAATTATTAAAATTTGGAAGTTTATTAAAATAAAATGAGCCCGGGACTTAGGGGTATGACTTTTGAAGACAATAATTAATCAATTTAATACCCCTATTTGGATTTTCAAATAAAATTCAAATCATGGATCATGACTACCTAAAGTCTAACATTTTCAAAACTAATTAAGACACTCACCTAGATCTTAAGGGCTTAGTAATGACTTAGGCTAAATCAAGTTTCATTTAAAATTAAATTAAAAAAGTAAATATCATTGAAAATTAAAACATCTTTCAAACACTACAAGCCCAATAATAACCAAAATTTGGTTAAGTGTTTCAACAACACTAACTTGCCTCTTTAAGAGTTTTCATCCACATAATTCTTAAATTGAATCACAAGTGATAATTACTTTATTCTAAGGGATATTTGAGACATCAGTGCTCACTGATAATTAAGGGTATTTACAAGATGACTAATTAGACAACATAATAAGTTTAAAAAAACTCCAGATTTTCCACCAGGCAGCAATAGAATAGCACGGACCTGCTTCTTTCTCTAGATCTGTTGGATATCTTAAAAATCTACTAAACTTAATATGTTTTGTTTGAAAAAATCATCCTTAATTAAATTCCTAAGAACCCACCAAGATATGATATAGGGTTAGGAAAACTACCAAAACCTTACTTTTTGCCTCTATATGATCTGCCTTGACATGCATTTTAAGTTTGAGGTGATGGAACGAGAAGACTCGCTAGGTACGCTTTTACAGTTTTCATCGTTGTCTTTCTTGTACTTTTATGCTATACTTTTGTGCTTATACAAATTTGCATGGAAAACCAAAACCAAAACCAAAGTCAAAACCAAAACCAAAACCAAAACCAAAACTAAAACTAAAATCAACCAAGATAAAATGCACACCCACAACATTCCAAATATAAAACAACTCAAAATGTAAACACAAACATTACAAAAAACACCAACTACAACTAAATTAAGATGTCTCTATCAGATGATCGGGAATCCCTCAGAGAAGTAACCTACGGTTGCTAACGAAGCTTCCCACAGTCTAAATGAAAGTATGAAACTCATTAAGTTGAGTTTAGTAA